AAGGGCTGCTGGAATAAGACACGAAGCCCCTCTTTGTCGCCAACAGCGTCTGGGTGCACGAGGAGGGCCAGAGGAACAGCCACGGAATGCCCCGAGGAACAGCGAGCCCCTTCCTCGAACCCAGAGCGGTCCTCCTCTCAGCGTCTTGAGGGTACAAGTACCCCACTGGGGAGGCCTAGAAGATCTCAGGGGCCGAAGACAGCGGCGGCGCTCGACGGCGGCGGCGTCCGACGGCGGCGGCCGCCCGACGCCCCGCGACCAGCGGCAGCGGCCGCGCAGCCAGCGGGGCGGCGCCGCGGCGGGTCGCCGCGCGCAGCCGGCGGGCCCGGCGCCGCGTGGCAGGCGGGGCCGGCGCAGCGACCGGCCGGGGAGCGCCTCGGCGGGCCTCGCCCCCGCCCGACGACGTCGGGCGCCGCCGCCGTCCCTCGCCCGACGCCGTCGCCGTGGCCGTCGCCGTCTCTGCCGCTGTTCGGGCGTCGTTGTCACCGCCGAGCGTCGCCAGCCGCCATCGTCGGGTGTCGTCGTCGGCGGCGGCGGAAGGGTCGGCGCCATCACCGTCGTCGCCGTCTTGGCCACGCTGAAGCGGGAGGGGTGATCGGGGATCGTCGCCGTCGTCGGGGAGGACAATGGATGAGGAGGAGCGCGAAGGAAGGCAGAACCCATCACCCCAAAGGTTCCCATAGCATCCTCAAGGGGAAGGACGAGCACGGCAAGTTCAGAGACTGTGATGGCGAAAACCGCGCGCGCGGGGGGGTTTAAAAATACCTCTCTTGAAAAAAACGCCTCTCCGCCAGCACGCGCGCTGGTCAGGGTGCGCATGGCGCGCTCAGTAGTACTGCTTGCCGCCACCCCACTTCTCGGGGATGACGTAGTTCTGGTACAGGATGTAGGCGGAGATGTCGTACAGGTCCTGCTGCTTCATGGATCGCATCTTCGGCCACAGGTCGGCGGCGATGATCGATGGGTGCACCTCTAGACGAAGAAGAAGAAGAAGAAAAAGAAGAAGAACGAACGAACCATTGCACAGAAATTTACTCTCGGAAATCCGCGCGGATGTCTGGCATCGTCGCCGGACACACCCCCTAGCGCCTGGAGCGCGCTGGGCGGGAGGCCAGCATCGGCCCAAGAAAGCCGCGCGGACCTCCGAACGTTTATGCTTCTGCAAATTGTGCTCCTCCTCGGACCTCGGAGATGTCCTTGAGGCCGTCGTAGGTCGTCGGGGCGTTGATGTAGTCCACGAGGCTGTCGATGGTGTTGCGCGGTGGGAAGGCGCCGGACAGCTCCTCGACACAAGCCCCGCCTCCTCCTCCTCCGCCTCTTGCCGCTCCCCGTCCTCGCCCAACTGCTCTCCCTCCTCCCTGTGCTGCTTAGCTCCGGGTCTTGATATCCGGTGGCCGCCCCGAAAATTAGAAAAGCGCGAAAAGCGCGAAAAGTAGAAAAGTGCGAAAAGCGCGAAAAGTGCGAAAAGTGCGAAAAATGCGAACAGCGCGAAAAGTACGAAAAGCGCGAAAAGTAGAAAAGTGCGAAAAGTGCGAAAAGCTGCGCAAAACATTTGAAACGCACTCGAAAAGTAGAAAAACGCGAAAAGTGCGAAAAGCGAGAGAAGAGCGAAAATGGATACAGCGATGCGCACAAGAGGCCGAAGAGCGCGAAGTGTTCGAATGGCACGCGAAAGGTGCAACAAAAAGCACGAAACGCGCAACAAACGCGAAACAACAAGGCGCCGTCGGTGGAGAAAAGCGAGAACAGCGAAACAAATGTGAAACTACGAGGACACAGTAACACGACAAATCGGAAGACCGAGACGCGGAAGCCTACGGAACGCTGAGAAGTCAATTCCTTGTGAGAAATTCAGCAATGAGAAACTTGGCAGACAATCCTGCTAACATTGCAAAACCAATAGAATCCGGAGAGAGGAAAGAGAGGATATACATGTCACGGGATACCCCGTTATCCTTCCTCCTCTTCTGTTTTCCTGACATAGGAGCCGCAACGCGCGGAAACGAATAGGAGAAACACGAACAGCGGAAAACATGCAAAACACACGCGAGCGCGAGAAACGCGAACCGCAGAATACCGAGAACACGGGACGCGCGCAATAGTCGGGCGAAAAACATGACGACCAGAAGCGCATCCGAAGCCGAAGTATATCCGACCAGCCCTCTTAGGGCGCAGGTGGTCTAGGGCGTTTCCTTTTCCAACCTCCTTCCCCCCCCCCCCCCCTGCTCAGGAGGTCTTACCCCCCCTCCTCCATGGGTCTGGACGGGCTCCCGCGCGAGATGCCAGGGCGTTCTTTTTGGCCCAAGATGGCTCCAAGAGGGTCTCGGAAAGGCCAAGATGGCCTCCAAGATGGCTCAATATACCTCAAGATGGCCCAGGATAGTTTCCGACATGCCTCCAAGAGGCTCCAGGGGCGGAGAGGCCGCAGGGGGCGTCGGCAGGACTGCTGCAAGAGCCAGGTCGTCGCGCTCGCCGCTCTCCTGCCTCGGAGGAGGAGCGAGGAGGAGCGAGGAGGAGGAGGAGGAGCGAGGAGGAGGAGGAGGAGGAGGAGCGAGGAGGAGGAGGCGGAGGAGGAGGAGGAATCCTTCTTTACACTTTTTGCTGACAATTACGCACCCCCCCCTGTCGCACCCCACGGCGTGTCGGTAGGGCGGGCCAGGCTCGGCGGCGACGAGGACCCCCCCAAGAGGCCCAAACCTGTCAAAAACCAACAGAAAACATGTGTGTGTTGCCTTCTCGCCTTTTCGCTTCCGATGGGCTCTTGAGGCCTCAAGTTGGCCACAAGAGGGGCCCAAGACGGCTCCAAGAGCGCTCAGGAGCGTTCCTGGCGAACCGCCACCCTGGCCGATGGGCGAAGCATTCTGGCCGGGGCAGGGCCCAGCACGGCGCCCCGCCCTCGTGATCGCATGCCCTAGCCGTCATAGCCTAGGCGGCTGCGGACGCGGTAAAGCACGCGGCGCGGGCGAGGGCAAGCAAAAACGCCAACGGTGGCAAGCAGAGGGATCAGTGAAATAATGATCGCTGAGAAACGGCGCGCATATGCATGTAAAAGGGTGGGGCAAGGAGGGGCGGGGGAGATTAGAGCAGAGCGGCGAGGAATGAGGCACGGAGTGCACAGGGGCGAATGTGGATGAGCGGGGAGGACACGGGAGAGAAGTGGAGTCGAGCGGAGCGGGGCGAGGAGGAGCGCGAGAGCGGCCAAGGAGCGGGGGGTAGTGGAATTGACAAGGATGGGAATGAACGGGAAGGAGTTGGGAGGAACGCGGAGGGCGGCGAAATGGGAGGAGCGCGAAGGAGCGACGAGAAGTACAATGGAGCGGAATGATGCGAACGAAAGGGAACGAGTGGGGAGGAGTTGAAAGGAGCGGGGGGAGATGGAAAGGAAAGTGAAATAGTGGGACGGAGCGGATTGCAGTTGGGAGCACGGAGACGAAAGGAGAGGAGCGGGGAGGAGTGGGCAACAGTGGGGAGGAGCGCGGAGGGGAGAACGGGATTGGAATAGAATGGGGAGGCGCGGGAGGAGTGCGGAGGTTTGCGGGGGCATGCGGCGAATGGGGATAGGAGCAAAGTGGAAGGAATTGGGAAAGGGTAGAAAAGGGGGGAGGGGGAGAAACGAGGGGGAGCGGGGAGGCGGCAGGAAGGAGCTGATAGGGGAACTGGGGGAGAACATGGAGCACGCAGCCGATGCCAAGAGACACCCGAAACGAAGTACGCTTCACAACGCGCGCTGTCTGCCGCGTCGCATGCTGGGCGGATGCTTTCCAGCAGCTGCGTCTCATCGAAAGATTTCGGGGGCGCCCAAATCATCCCGAATTCTCGCCGGAGGCCCGAGTTACGCACGGCCCGAAAACCACTGGGAAGATCGAGAATTCGAGGATCGAGGATCGAGGTTGTTGAACGCGCTCGGCAACTACTGCGAAAAACTTCGAAAAGCAAAGACAAGAACAACAACCGTGCTCCATGCGAAAAAAAGCGGAACGCAAGAAAAACGCAAATGGAACACGGCCACGACTCATCATCCTGCCCCTCCTGCCGCTCTCTAATGTTTCTTTTTGAATATGTTGAACCGTTCGCGCGTTTCGAACTGGTCCTCCTTCTCGCGCTGCGCACAGAGGCTTCGGGGGCGCCCAATATCATCCCAAACTTCCGCTGGAGGCCCGAGTTACGCACGGTCCGAAAACCACTTGGAAGATCGAGGTTCGAGGATCGAGGGTCGAGGTTTTTGAACGCGCTCGGCAACTATTGCGAAAAAACTTAGAAAAAGCAAGGACAAGAAAAACAAGCGTGCTCCATACGAGGACAAGCGAAACGCAAGAAAAACACATGTGGAACACGGCCACGCCTCATCTTCCTGCCCCTCCTGCCGCTCCTTTTTCTTTTAGAATCCGCCGACCCCTTGTGGGTCTCTAGGCGTGTGAGATAGTTCCCCCCCAAAAAAAGTCCCCCCCCAGGGACCCCAAACCGGCGATTTGACCCCCCCCCCGGGCCCCGGACGAGCGACTCACGGGCTTTTTTGGGCCCGAAAGGGGCTCAAGACGGGCCAAGAAGGTCCCAAGACGCCTCCAAGACGGCCCACGAGGGCCCCGAGACGCCACACGAGCGCTCCAAAACGCCCAAGATGGTCCCATGACGAGCCAAGAGACCTCCAAGACGGCCCAAGCGGCCTCCAAGAGCAGCCCTCAGAAGGGCCTACGAGCTGAAAATTGTGAAATTCCGCTGGGAAAACGTACATTTTGATAATACACGACTTGTCGGCCTTCACGGCCTTGAAGACCGTCCAAGAGCACCCCAAGACCGCTCCAAAAGGCCCAAGAGGCCCCCAAGAGGCGCCCAAGTCGGCCCCAGAGGGCGCCAAGACGGCACGATAGGCCCCCAAGACTGCCCAAGACGGCCCCACGAGGGGCCCAAGAGGGGGAGCTTGAACCGACAATCCGAACCTTCCGCCCCAAGACGGCCCCAGAAGGCCCCAAGAGGCCTCAGGAGGCCCCCAAGACGCCTCCAAAAAGCCCCAAAAGGCCCCCAAAAGAGCCCCAAACGGTCCCAAAACGGCCCCCACGAGGCTTCGAAACTGCCTCCAAAAGTCCCGCGAGAAGCCCCTCGACCATTCCTCCTCTGCCTCCCTCTCCTCATCCTCATCCTCGTCGATTCTTTTCCCCCCGTTCTTCATTTCCTCCGTGTGCCCCTCATCCTCCTCCTCCTCACCGTCCTTGTCCAACTCGGCCCCCCGGTGGTTTCAAAGCTGTTTTCCAGAGGCCCCCGAAAGGCGTGCCGCGAAATCGCTATACACATACAAGAATTTCTCACCCATAGACCATACATCGATATACACAAACAAGAATTTCTCACCCATATACCATAACTCAGAGCCTCATCTCAATGTCCCCCTCCTCCTCGTCCTCCTCCACCCTCTCCACGTTCCCCTCCTCCTCGTCCCCCTCCTCGTGTTCCTGGTCCGCTTCGCCTCGTCATATTCGATGATTCGCCCCCCCCCCTATCCTCCGCCTCATCTCCATTCGCCTGTCCCGTCCTCCTTTTTCTCACCAGCACGCGTGCCCGATTCGACATCAGTTGCATGTCTTGCACTTCAGGGTGCCTTTTGTTGGCGTCTCGCGGGACAATGTGCGGGTCGGGGAACGCCGACTTCGGTAGCCTTCTCTCGCACGCGCCGCTGCACTGATACGGCTGGCAACTGCGGGCTGTGAACCCGAAGTCCTTGCAGCCTCCGCACACCACTTTGGCTCCTTTCGCCTTTCGATGATGTTCCACTTGGTTGGGCTTCAAATGTTTCGTGTCCGAGAACGCTCCTCCGCACGTCGCGCACGTCAGCGGCTTCGCGTCCGCCTCGGCTTTCCGTTTGCGATTCGCTGCCTCCGCATTGCCCCGTCGCACCTCTCTCTCTCTCTATATTTCTCTCTCTCTCTCTCTCTCTCCCGTTGTTCCACGCATTTCTGACAGAGCCTCTCCCCCGCAGTTTTGTGCTTCTTCTGAGCTTCTGACATCTCCGCCTTTCCGTCATACAGCGACAGGCACTTATCGTTCGTACATCGCGGGCGCGTTCGTTCCACGCTCTCGTTCCACTTCGCGTTGCCTTTCCGCGACTTTTGCTTGGCTTTGACATGGCTGCACGTCGCGCAGTACAGTGTCCTAATCCTTTTCGTCTCCCCGTCGTCGACCGCCACATCCGCGTCCCTTGGGCCGTCTTGGGCGCCTCTTGGGTCGTCTTAGGGCCCTCTCGGGCTGTGTTGATCCTCTTGGGAGCACCCTGGGCCGTCCTGGAGCGGGTTTGGGGGCCTCTTGGGCCGTCACCGACGCCGTGGAGGCCGAAAACTCGCGCATACTCAACATGCACGTTTTCCTTAGGAAACTCAATGTTTTTTTAGCGTTTGCGCCTTGTGGGGCGTCGTGGAGCCCCCCTGGGCAGTCTTGGGCGGTCTTGGACTCTCTCGGAGCGTTCTTGGGCGTCTTGGAAGTATCTTCGGCCGTCTTGAACCCCTCTTGGACCGTCGTGAGCGCCCAAAACGGCCCAAGAAGCGCCCAAGAGACCCCCAACACGCCCCGAGCGGCCATTCACACTCATCCATCCGCCCCACCCCCCTCCCCAGGACCCCTCCCTCGAAGTCTTCGCCCAAACACAACGTCATCACTCGTACCTGGTTCTTTCCGTCACGTGGACCAGCACGGGAACGGAAAGGGCGTTTCAAGGACTTGCCCGCGATAGCTCGCGTAATCACAGCCTTGGCGCTGGAAGCGATGTTTCACACCACTGTGCGCAATCGCAACCTTGGTGATCGAAACTCGTTACGTCATCGTTCTTAGCGGTAGCATTGGCGTTAAGATTTTTTTTCCAATTCCCCGCGCTCCCGAGAGCCGTGGCGTTGAACGACTTGTCACCTCCTCCTCCTCCTTCTCCACCTCTTCCTCCTCCCCCTCCTCCTCTTCCTCCTCCTCATCATCCTCCTCCCCCTCCTGCCTCCTGCTCCTCCTCATCCTCCTCGTCCACCTCTTCCTCCTCCTCCTCCTCCTCCTCCTCCTCCTCCTCCTCCTCCTCCTCCTCCTCCTCCTCCTCCTCCTCCTCCACTCCTCCTCCTCCTCTCCCCCCCTCCTCCCCCTCCCCCTCCTCCTCCTCCTCCTCCTCCTCCTCCTCCTCCTCCTCCTCCTCCTCCTCCTCCTCCTCCTCCTCCCTCCTCCTCCTCCTCCTCCTCCTCCTCCTCCTCCTCCTCCTCCTCCTCCTCCCCCACTCTGCCTCATTCCCCATCCATCCCCCCTTCCCCCTCCACCCCTTCCGCCTCGGCCTCTTGGGAGCGGACCTCTTGGAAGCCTGTTGGTGGCTGGCCAAGAGGTCCCCAGGACGGCCCGAGAGGGCCTCAAGACGACACCGAGAGAGCCCTAAGAAAGCACCACGAGCTTCCCAAGAAAGCCCCTAGAGGCCGCCAAGAGAGCCCCAACAGGCCGCCAAGAGAAGGCCCTCTTCGGCCGTCTTGACGGTATCGGGATAAAGCCGTTTCTCCCCGCTTTCGCCGTTGGGAGCCTTGGCGTGATGAGCTCTCTGCGTTACCGATCACTCTTTATTTGCCCTGGGTCTTCTGGGCCGTCCTCTTGGGGCCTTTTAGGGGTTCTTTTGGACTGTTTTGGGGCCCTCTTGAACCGTCTTGGGACCATTTGGGACGTCCAATTTTCTCGAATGCTGAGGGCTAAACCGATAACTCTCAGAAGGTCTTGCATGCTTCCCCGATTGCGGAAAAACGCCTGACGGGGAGCTGACCAAGTCTTCCAAATTGTGGTGAGAGTTTCACCGATAACTCTCAGAAGGTCTCCCGTGCTTCCCCGATTGTGGGAAAACGCCTCACGGGCTGGCAGGCCCCTTAGGGGCGGCGCGGGCGGGCCGGAGCCCAGCCCCTTGCATCTCAAAGTAAGACAACCATAAGATAAGCTGCACTGAATGCTATCATAAGATATTGCATCCTAAACGAAGGTTATAGACGAAAGGTAAGCTGCATTGAATGCCGCGCTGCAGGGACCAGACATTGCAAGACGAGAGAAAACGACTAATGATGCTTGACGATTTCGCGCTGCTATCACAAGGAATACAAGGGGGCGGCGGATGTGGCGCAAGCCTGTAGAATCTGTATGAATCTGTTGAACCATTCGCGCGATTCGAACTTGTCCTGCTTCTGGCGATGCGCGCTGTTAAAAATGCGGTTCCTTCCCAAAGCGTTTCTCATTCCACGTTCGCTCTTATCGCGCAAGTCCCGCTTTGCTGCATTTCGTTATTATCGCAAGTTTCAAACGCACGTTCCCCGTTTTATCAGGGTTCGACTTTCTTGTTTTTCGCACCTATTAGCGTTTCTCAACCTGTTGCACTGTGTTGCTTCGTACTTCTCGCACCTTTCGTCCTTCTCCCACTTTTTTTGTGCATGTTCGCATTGCTCTGCTTTTCTGTTTTTCGCGCTTTTCTACTTTTCGCACGTTCGCACTTTTCGCGTTTTCCTACTTTTCACACTTTTCTACTTTTCGCGCTTTTCGAACTTTTCGCACTTTTCGCACTTTCCTACTTTTCTACTTTTCGCACTTTTCGCACTTTTCGCGCTTTTCTACTTTTCTACTTTTCGCACTTTCCGCACTTTTCTACTTTTCGCACTTTTCGCGTCCGCCACCGGATGTTTGAGACGCTTAGATAGCCGGCTTAGCCTCCGCCGCCTCCCCCTCTCCTCCACTGGGAATTGCTGGACGGTGGTGGTCTTGGGCCTCTCCACCCCTTTCACAAGGGCCAAGGGCTGGAGTTACATGGCGGGTTGCAGAAACCCTGGACCCAAAAATGCTCTCATCTCTTGGGGGCACATACTTTTTACTGCCGCCCGCAGGCTTCCAGCGGCGGAGCCGCCCTCGTTCGACTTCTGCCGCCCTCCGCCGGCCTTCCGCGGCCTTCCGCCGCGGAAGAGATGCCAACTTCTTCGATCTTCGCCGGAACGCCCCGTACATGCTCCACCCCGTGGGTCGTCTGCTCAGCGCGAAGCTTCCGTGGACTGGCGATCCGATCCGATCCGACTCTCCTCCTCCAGCTGCCTCGCCTCCGATCCCCGAGCGTCGACGGGGGGAGGTTTTCAAGCGGTTCCGGCCCCTGCTGGGCCTCCCGAGGCCTCCTCTGGGGGCCTCCGGGAAACTGGATCCACGGCGGGAGCCAAACTTACCGTCCTCTTGTTCAGCTGCTTCACCTCCTCCTCCTCCTCCTCCTCCTTCTCCACTTCCTCTTCCTCATGATCATCGCGCAATTCCTCCTCCTCCTCCTCCTCCTCCGTCCTCTTCCTCCTCCTCCTCCGTCCTCTTCCTCCTCCTCCTCCTCCTCCTCCTCCTCCCCCGTCTTCTCCCTTGTGGGTGGCTCCTCCTCACAGCACCACAGTACAAGGAGGAAATGTGGCCCGTTTTCAATACGTGGTTCTGGCCTGAGCGCCTCTCAGATTCGTCTCAAGCTTTTTCCAGCAGCTAGACGGACGGAACACAAGTCGTTTTCAAAATGGGAGCCTCGCATCCGAACCGCACACATTCAGGATAGACGCTTGCAACATGTATTTTGCACGGGCGGAGGGCAGTTCCAGTTCAGAATGGGGCATAATACTCAGGCTCCCTGCAACAATAACTCAAACACGTGTGCAAAACTACACGTTTAGAGAGAGCTCTTTTCCAACTCGGCTTCTCCCTTGAAGCCGCGTCAAACGTTATGGCCCGATCCTCACCCATTCGCAACAGTTACGCGGATGGAGGGCAGACCTCTTTTCAAGGGGGTGGTCTCTCTTGCCACCCCCCTGGAACTATTTTTATGATCCTTCATCAGAGTGGGGGGGCCGAACGGTCATTCACTGTCCCTGGGTGCGTGGCTGAAATGGGGGTCCGCGTTGCGGATAATCGTTGCGTTGTTGTTTGTTGTTTTTGCTGTTGTCGTCGTCCCACTCACGACCTGGCCCGCGACCCACCCGCGACCCACCTGCGACCCACCCGCGACCCACACGTCCCACCCGCGACCCACCTGCGACCCACCCCCGATCCCCCCGTGATCCACCCGCCATCCACCCGCGACCCACCTCACAACCCACCCGCGACCCACCCGCGACCCGTCCTCGGCCCACCCCGCGCCCGCCCCCTCACTCTTACCCGCAATTGCGGGGTGCTACATGTATTGACGCGTCCAATAATTTCAAAGATGGAGCGCAATTCCTTCTTCCTTCTCGAAACGGGGCTGTCCCCTAAATGGCAAGCATCGGCAAGCCCATGGGGCGCTCGTTTCCAAGGGGGTGTCTCCCCCGTTAGCGAACGGGGCGAAGTATGTGCAAAGCCACACGAGGAAGGGACTTGGGGCGGAGAGCGTTTTGGGGCATCGTGCGACAAGTCCTGCGCTTCCCCCGGGCACACGCTAACATGGATAAGGCATCCGCGGATCTGGCGAGTGGGCACCATATTCACGCATCGGGGAAGGTCCACCCCGAAACATGAGGCCAGTGCCGCCTCATTTGGAGACGCATCGCGCCGATTTCGTATGGAGACGGGAACCGATGCAAATCCGCGCGCTTCACTCCACGCCTGCGCTGATTTGATTACCCTGGCCCTCCCCCCCATGCCTGTTCCTCCCGCTCCAGCCCTGACTGCAGAACAGGTCCTCGATGCCCAGGCCCACGCTCTGGTTGGTGCGGGTGCCGCCGCCGACGTGGCACGTCCCGCACGCGACGTTGAACAGGCGCTTCCCGCGGATCAGCTCCTCCTTGCTCAGGTTCCTGGTCTTGCCCTTGCCTGGCGAGGAGGGCGTGGGCTCCCCACGCTAGAGGGGCAGTGAAGACAGGGAGCGGCGACGAGGGTGCCGCCAAGGGTCCTCCTCGTCCTGATCCTGCTACCTCCTCCTACCTCCTACCTCCTAGCTCCTTCCCTCCTTCCCTCCTTCCCTCCTTCCCTCCTCCTTCCTCTCACCTCCTTCCTCTTCCCTCCTTCTGCCTCCACATCCTACCTCCACCATCTCCTCCTCCTACTTCTCCTACTTATTTATCCTCCTCCTGCACCTGACGAGAAGAGCGAAATCTGGCGCGCGGTTTGTCGATTGCTGCATGCGATGCGACAAAAGCAGCCTGCGCGCTTGGGCTTACCCCCCCGCCCCGCGCCACCCCTAGACGAAGGGACAACTGCGTAAACATTGTAAAGTTTCGAAGGTCCGCGCGGAGTTCTTGGATCGGCGCAAGACCCCCCTCCCGGGCGCGCTCTGCGCGCCAAGGGCGGCGCCGGAGGCGCCGCCAGGGGGTCCAACGCAGATCCAAGAAATCCACGCGGATCTCTGAAAGTTGTTCGTGGTTGATCGGCTTTCCCGTCTTCGAACTCCGCAAGCCGCGCCACAGAGGCAGGAGGCCCCATACTCGAATCGATCAGTCGGATCGGCGAGACGGTTCAGATCGACACAGATCGGCAGCCAAGCCGGGAGACGCCGCACGGGGGCGGAAATCGGCAGGCTGGTAAGGCCTCCACTGAGAAATCGGAAAACCCAATCCGAAACCGACTCGGGTCGGAATCGGAATCGATCGAGGACGAATCGGAGGAGTCGACATGAACGCCAGAGGCCCGGGGACGCCAGGGGACGTCCGAGTCTCATGCTGGCTGCTGCTCCCACGTGGCCCCGAGCAGGGAGGGCGCGAGCAGTCAGCCCGCGGCCAGCCTGGACAGGCCAACCCTTTCGCGGAGGAGCTGTGTGAGCACGCACCGAACACAGTCTGCGGCATCCCCGCGCCGGCTCTCATGGTCTGCGCGGGCGGCGCCCGATTGTCCTGGACCACTTGGCGCCCGCGGACTTAGAAGTGAGTGCGCACCCCTGGCCTGGCCAGCGAACATCGACCCTGGGCTCATGACTCGGCCGAAGAGGGTCGGCGCAGCTGAACACCGCAGCCCCTCGCAGTTGCGGATCAGAGTGAGGTCACGGCGGGGGGAGGGGGGGCGGGTCGTTCGCCTTCGCCTCCTCACCGCTCGCTACTCCTCCTCCTCCTCCTCCTCCTCCACCTCCTCCTCCTCCTCCTCCTCCTCCTCCTCCTCCTCCTCCTCCTCCTCCTCCTCCTCCTCCTCATTAGAGGCCTCCTAGGTCGGGTCTGGGTTGATGAGGTCGGAGGGTTGCGCCGCATCGCCGATACATCGGTGATACATCGCCGATGCATCGGCGACATCGGCGATGCATCGGCGACGTCGGCGTGGAGAAAAACGGCCTTCAAATCGAGCCACATCGGCGATGCGGCGACGATGCGGCGCGATCCTCTGGCCCAATTTACTCCGACCACATCTAGGAGGGCTAAACTCATGTTTCGTCTTCTCATGCCACTCCTCTCCTCCCCTCCGCTGACGCCTGCGCCGCGGCCGCCTTAGTCGTCGTCGTCGTCGTTGCCACTCTCGCTGGTTCGTCGCTCGTGTCCATATTCGCCCGTCGCCGGCGCCGTTTTCGTCGCACGTCGATCATCGCCAGCGCAGTCGTTGTCGCCGACGCCGTCGCTCGTCGCCGTCGTCCGTTGCCCGTCGCCAGCGCCGTCGTCGACGTCGCCGCTAGTCGTCGCTGGCATTTTCGCTCGCTATCCATCGCCAGTCTCTCACCGAGGGGCACCGTAGTCGTGACCGCGCTGCGGTAGATATCGTCGCTCGTCGCTGGCGTCGTCGCTCGCCATCTATCGCTGTGGCCCGCCCAATTTTCGGACCATGGCTCCCCTCCAACGGCCGCTCGGGACGGCCCCGGTCTCAACTGATAGCAGCACAGTAAATCTGTCTCGGATACGTAAGTAATCTGATTATCTAGATAATCTGGTAAAGAATACGCAACCTTTTCCTGTGACTCAGGGGCCCCTGAACATCAAACGGCAGCGGTACAACAAGAATCATAGACTGCGCTAGTAAACAATCCAACTGGCACTGCATACACACATGAAAACTCAATGAAACATGGGTGATATTGACACGGGCGGAAAAAAGGAGTTAGCACAGATACATTACAAATCGCACTGCCTAAACTCAGGGTTCCTCGGACGTTTACCAGGAGACTCAAACTGCAAACTCAGACTAAAGCTGAAAACTCCAAGCTTTCGGGAACGAGACCGTAACAAAAACACAAATAAACATCACTGTCACCGCAGGTCCCTTGCACAAGCCAGTCATACTCGAATGTGAAACATACCGGCGGTCGCGTCAGCGACATGCATCTCCTTGAATATTACAGCACGCCGGGCGATCGGTCGATCTCGCCAGGCAAGCAGGTCCGCGCCTCGCGGGCGCCCATCAGGGTATGCATCTCGATGCACATCAGCTCCTGCGGCATCGCCGCCACGTTGCCATAGGCTGGGTCCCCGTCGTCTTCCTCTATCCGACAAAAGCTCCGCGTGCGCACTCGGGCAGCGGCTGGAACCTCGGCGTCTGCATATCCTGGTTGTAGCGGCACTGGGACTGGCACATCATGTGGCGCACTTTCTTCTGGCGGGGCTGCTTGGTGTTCACACCTGTCGTCATCATCTCGGTCCCCTCGGTGTAGCGCTTCTCCGCCTTGCTGGGGTTCGGCTCGGTCTCTGGCTCCAGCGGCCTGGTGCTCTTCTGCTCAGCCTCCGTCTTAGTCCAGCGCGCCCAGCAGGTGCCGACCCAGAATCCACAGCCAAAAGCCACGAGCATCGCCACCATGAATCCGAACATGGCCAGCTTCACCAGCAGATTGTTCCAGTCGTCGTTGGTCGGTGGGTTGAACAGCCCGACGCCGCTGGGCGCACACTGTGCCACCTCAGCTCCAGAGCCAGTCGCTCCAGTAGCCGTCAACGTAGCTGTCAAACGAGCTCCGCTCGCGCCAAAATGGCGCGTCCTGGCCTTAGCCTTCGCCTTCGGCCACGGGCTCCTTCTCGAAGGTATCGAGCAACTCTTCTCCTGCCTGGTCCAGCTCCTTCTCGCGTTGCTCCATCGCGCGCTTGGTGAGATTCTTGCCGGCCACGAAGTCGGGGTCGTAGCGCAAGGCATGAACTCCACGGCGTAACACATCCGCCATCAGCTGGCGCGCCGAAAGTTTGGTGAGTCCGTCCGGCATCTGCTGCTGGGTGTTCACCCACTTCCACCTAGCGTTGACCTCCGCCAGCTGCTCGTTCACGATCTTCACCTCGATGGCCGCCCTCTTCTCCGCGATGCCCAACCCCGCCGTAGCTGACCGCGAGGCGTCGTAGAGGCACTTAGCGTCTGTGATGAACGGCGACTCTCCGAGGTATGTCATGGCGGCGTCGTGTCCGAGGTCGGGTCTCAGACTCAGGGCCAGAAAGACCTTCACCCACATCAGCGAGTCGGCTCCCATCGCCGCGGCTTGCGCCTCGGCGGACAATGAGCTCCTGCACAACCGCGCCAGCTTCTTCGAGGCCCACTCCACGGCCGCGAACGGCGTCGGGGTGCCGGCGTTGAGCTCGTCCTCGGGTCCGACGAAGATCTGATAGCCCCCTTGGGGACTTCCGTCAGGTTGGCTAGCCCAGCTCGCATCTGAGTAGCCTCCAACGCGCAATTCACTCCACAGCCTGTCAAAGCCGAAGTACAATCCCACGTCCGCGCTGGCCTTCAGGAACCGTAAATCCTTGTTCGCGCCCAGCAAATCCTGCACCCTCGCGCGTCCAGTCGCCGCGGCTCTGAACGATACAGTCGCCGCCGCGATGATAACTCCCTAGGCTGCTGGCCACTGCAGCTGGCCGTTCAGGGCCCTGAAACTGGTGAGCTCCCTCGGCGACAGCGCACTGGTGGGATCTGCCCGCCGGTGCTTTTCCACGGTGATGGGCTTCACCGCGTGCAGGTACTTCTCGAACTTGATGGTGATCGCGTGGGTGCCCAGGGACTGCTCCACCTCGCCGCCGGTGAAGACTAGGCTCGGCCCGAACTCCCACTTGCCAAACTTACTTCTCATTGAGCAGGCCCAGCCGCGCCTGAAAGCACTCGGCATCGTCCAGCTTAGCGCACAGGTCATCTTCGCAGCTCACGTTCTCGCCGCAGCCGATGAAGTCGTCCACGTGCTTGCCGATCAGCCCGTCCACCACGAACGTCTGGCCGTCGAAGTTGCACACGTCGAACGGGTCGTCCGAGGGTCGCGCGGCCCGCAAGGACAGCAGCAAGCAATCCTCGAGCCAGTGGTTCTTGAACCCGATATCCCTCGTGACTTCGTCGGAGCGGTAGTGCCAGAGCGTGGGCGACCGCGGGCCCCCTAAGCAGGGCTTGATCATCTTGAGCAACTGTCCTGGTTGCAGGCCGATCTGGTGCACAGGCATCTCCCTCATCTCCTTCGTCGGGCTCGCGCACAGCTTGATGCCGTGAGCACCGACGTCCTCGGCCTGCAAGAACGCGGACTTCGCATCCGCAGCGAGCAGCCTCCACTTCCTCAAGGCCGCCCAGAGCATGGCCGCGCGCCGGCCGAGCCCGCTCAAAGTGGGCGCCTCCTTGTCGAGCTGGCCCTCGGCAACGTCGCGGTGCTTGAAGCCCTGGTAGAGCACTCGCGCGTTGGCCACTCGCTGCCCGTCCTTCACCTTCCACTTCAGCAGGAAGCGTAGCGGGCATCACGCCGCTGGGTCTACCTCCGCCTCGTCGATGTGCTCCCAGCCGTCGTTCTTATTGAACACCTCGAGGGCCTCCAGCTTGGCCGCGTAGAACTGCCCCCGCTCCTCGGGCGTGAGCTTCCCCTCCACGATGGCGGGGGCCTTCCTCTTGAAACCCAGCATGTATATCGTCTCGGTGGATTCCTCCAACAGCATCATCTCGTCGCCCACCTCCTCGATGAGACACGACTCCCCCTGCTGAGGCGCGAGCCTGGCCCACGACATGCGGGCGCGTTTTGCCAAGGGGATGCCGTCCAGCTTCTCAGCCTCCTCGATGCTCCTCTTGGCCATCGCCTCCATGTGGACTCTGCTCGGCTCCCTCGCTGCGTTGCCGCGCTCTCGCGCAGCGCTGGCCCCCGAAGGTGCGGAGTCTGGAGCCGCCTCCTCGCCAGCCTCGGCTGGCTGGGGGGCCTCGGGAGCAGCCGCGGCAGCCGCTCCACTCGGCTCCTCTCGTTCTTGTTCAGCTCGATCTCCATCGCGGTGCCCCTGGGCGCCGGGCTGCTGCGCGCCCATGTCGCCCAGGGTGTCGTCGCACTGGGGCCGCTGGCCCCCCTCGGCGAGGTCACTGAAGCTGCAGGTCCCCTCGGTCCCCCTGAGCGCCCTCCTCAGCTTCTCGACGGTGCTGAGCGGGCTGTCGGGGCCCCCGCGTCGTCCTCCTCGCTCTCGGGTCTCGCTCGACAGCTCGGGGCGGAGCTGCTCCACCGTGCAGCGGTAGATCGCGCACCCGTGCGTGACCCACACCACCGACGCGTGCATCACGTCGTCCTCGTTGCCCTTCGACTCCACCGCCACCGCCAGCGCCGGGCCATGCCAGTGGCACTTCTCCAGGCCCGTCGACATCTCGGGTCGCCAGAAGCAGACCCACTCGCCGATCTGGCACTCGCGGCGCGTCGGCCTGCTGCGCGCCAACAGCGCAGCTCGCACGGCACGAGAGCAGTTGGCCTCGATGAGAGCCGTCCCTGCCGCAGCGCGCCTGACCATCATCTCGCGCATCTCGCTCTCGGGGTCGACCAGCGCGGCCTGCTCCGCCAGGCCGAAGCCCTCGTCGCATAGAGCGCCAGGTACATTGGGCTGCGTGCCCAGCACCAGCGTCGCGGGCGAATGCCCGTGCACGCTGCGTAAGATGTTCCGCTGGCTGGCGGTAATCCTGAGCGCGGTCTTGAGCGAGTCGTCGGGAAACTGCAGGTGGCACTTGCTGAGCTGCTCCCTCCTGCCCGCACGGTTGCGCCCCATGAGCCCAAGCTTGTGGTGCGCGCCCTTCGGGATCAGGTCGAGTGTGATGTTATGCTTGCTCATCCACTGGTGCATCCTTCTTGACCTGTGCGAGCCTGCCATGTTCATCCTCATGGTGTCGGGCTTGCCAGCCCAGCTGATCCACAACTTCTGAAACAACTTCACCTCCTTCTTGAAAGTCTCCTGCGCGATCGGGCAATCCACTTCGTAGCGCGTGAACTCGCCCATCATGGCCAAGATCTTCCGCTCCTTGTTCTTCCAGGTGACGTAATAGACGTCGGTGTTCGCGACCTCGTTGAACCGTTTAGCTTTCGGCAGTACCGCTACGCGCGCTGCTCGAGGTCGCTGCCTGCTCAGGCAAACTTCACACTGGAAGAGCTTGGCGCACTGAAGCCACTCTGCCGGGGCCTTCGCGCGCTTCATGGCGGTCGCCAGCGCCGCATTGGAGGGTGGCCCAGGCTGATATGAGCGCGCTTGACCGCCCTGATCGTCGACACATTAAAACGCTTCACCAGCTCTAGCATCACGTCGGTGTACTCGATGGCGTCGATGTCCTTGGAGACCTCCTCGGCAGTGCTGATATCCTCAATCTCGTCGTCCATGCCCTGATAGGCGATCAAGTAGGCCATCCTTCGCGCCATCGGTCTCGGGTAGTTCTGAGCCTGCTGGGCGAACTTGCCGCGTAAGACCACGTGCTCCTCGGCGCAGCGGCACTGCATGCTCATGTGGTGTGCGAACTCCTTGTTCGTGGACTGGAGTCGCGTAGGCTTCTGGCACGGCATGAGCTCACCCTTGATCTCGAACTTCGCGCCCAGCCTGCACTGGTCGAGCCGGCAGTGGTATCCAGGTAGCTTCTGCCAGGTCTTGGTTTGCCAGTGTAGCCCTTGCCACGGGCTCTCTACATACGCACGGCGTCCACCGCTCTGCTGCTTCACAAACGAATCCCAAACCATCTTGAGGAACGCCTTCTCCTCTCGCTGTCTGGTGAGGCTGATCTCCTTCGCGTGCTCCTCCGAAAGCTTCTCGCTGACACACTGCCAATAACGCCAGATCCTGCACGGGGGTGCGAAGAAGATGTCGTCGGGCTTTTCCTCATCGACCTTACTCAAGAAAAGCAGCGAATCACAATGGGATTGGAAAAATCCTAGCCGTCGGCCTGCCTGACCTGACCTGGATCACCTTGACCTTCGGGAACTCCAGCAGCTCCCCCGACAAAGCCCCTTGGTCCACGAAGGCCTCCCAGACCACGCGTTCGCGGGGTCCTCTGAGCGTATTCTCCGCGTCGGTCTCCGCTTGCTCCGGGGCCAAGACCAGGTCTGAGTAGGTGTCCGCGTCCATGTCGGTGAGCCCCTCGGTCGTCAGCGCCTCGTCGTCGCTGCCGATGTCGCAAAACTCCGCGACGGTCTCGAGGTAGTAGGCGTCGGCATCTGGCACCGACGAGTCGCTGCCATCGTCGGTCTCGCCCTTCACCGAGCTCCCCTCCGAGTCCTTGCCCGTCGAATCGTAGCTGCTTTCCTCGCCGCCCGCGGGAGCGCCCTCGTTCATGGCGCCCTCCGCTTCCTTCCTGGCGCTGCCCGACAGATCGATGATGGAGTAGCCTTTCTCGTCACGCTCGGACTTCATCCAACCTTTGTCGGGGAGATCCTTCATCGCGAACGTACCTGCCCGGTGGTCCTGGACGAGACCCCACTCCTCCATGCAGGGCCTGGCGATGAGCAGCGGCGCCCACCCCTCGACGAGGTGGATGGCGACTTGCTTCTTGATGCCGAACGGCCACACCGACAACGCCACTGCCTTCTTTGCCTCCAGCGTCTTCCCGTCTCCGAACCTGAACCGTCGATCACTCTTCTTATACTTGACCTCGTGCAGCAACTGCTTCACGCGCAGCAGCTCCTCCCACTGCGCCTAGACCTTGTCGCCCATGACGGGCCGCGTTGCACCCCCGTCACTGATGCCCTTGCCGACGGTCAGCAGGAACACCTCCTCGGTCGGAGTGCGCGCCTCGATGTCTTCGACCACGTTGCCTGACTCGGTCTCCGTCCTGGCGAGCCCGCCACGACGAAATCTCTTGAACCTCGGGCCGCGCTGCTGCGTCGAACCAGTCCCAGTCGATCCCGCGCCCGACGCAGAGGGCGGGCGAACGGGGCCTTCGGGAACTTGAACGCTGAGGGATCTCGTCGTGGCTGACTCGATCCTTTGCCATTGCCTTTGCCTTTGCCATGTCCGCGCCCCTTGCCTTTGCCCGGTGCTCGGGCGGGTCGTGCCTCACGGTAGTTGTTGTCGGGCGCCACGGCGACGATCGGGTAGAAGCCTCTGGACTTCGCGATCTCAGCCACGCGCTTCTTTGCATCCACGAAACTCAGGTAGGCCTCGTCGCGCGCGAGCTGAACGTCCCCGCCGTCCTGCGGCAGCTCCTCGGCGATCTCGGCCTCCTCGTCCACGTCCTCGTACTCGTACTCGTCTTTGTCTTCGTACTCTTCCTCCTCCAGGTACGTGTCTTCGTAGCTCAGGCCTCGCTCCCACTCGTAGTCGTCTGTGTAATGAGCGTCGTCCTCGGTATTCTGCCCGAGCAGCATCTTCTCCACTCGTTTGATATCGCGCGTGTCGGGCAGACCCTCGGCTCCGCACGTGTCGAGTAGAGCTTTCTTCACCTTTTGCCAGCTGAGGCCGTCTACGCATTGACTCCGAACCTGGGCGGCGCCCGATGGCGGGATCGCCGCTCTCGTGAGGAGGTGCCAGCCCGCTAGCATGTCTGGGATCTCCATGCCCACTTCCTTCAGCTTCCTGAGGTCGCGCTGATGGCGTAGGCAGTACAACTTCATTGACTCCTTCTCCTGGCGGGCGAACCTGCCGAATAACTGGTCTGTCCGGGCTGGCAGCTCAGTCTGGTTGTCGTACTTGTAGTACTCGTCCAGGACCTTGAACAGCGGCCTGAAGGCCTCGTCTGTCTCCAACAGGTCCAGGTCGATCTCCTCCGTAGCCTCTGCCGCCTCTCCTTGCAGCGAGTTCATGACCAGGAAAGCCCCCTCGCTGATGGCGGTCGTGCCGCGTTTGCGGCAGCATCTCTCGAAGACCTTCAGCTTTCGTCTGAAAATTCGGTAGCCGTCGGTTTTCAACAACTCGTAGCTCGGTGCTGTATTGGACAGGCCTGCGTCAAGGCCTCTCCCCCCGTCCCAGGCCGAGCTCTCCTGGTGCCACCAACTTCCGCCTGTCCAGCCAGCCCATTCCTCGGCGTAGGCTGCCTCGTCGCCTTCGCTGCCAGGGACTCGAGTGGTCGCGGCAGCAGGGTCCACGCCGCTTGCGGCCGAAGCGGCAGCGGCGGCAGGCGGCGGGGTGCCCGGCGACTTCGCCGGCGGCGGACCTGGCGGCTTCGCCGGTCCGCGGGGCGGCGCCTCGCCAGCGGGCATGGCGGCGTCGACGGGGAAGCCGGAGAGAAGTGTGGATCTCCTGCTCCGCTACCAATCTCAACCGATAGCAGCACACTAAGTCTGTCTCGGGTGTGTAAGTAATTTGATTATCTTGATAATCTGGTAAAGAATACGCAATCTTTTCCTGTGACTCAGGGGCCCCTGAACATCAAACGGCAGCGGTACAACAATAATCATGAACTGTGCGAATAAAAATCCAACTGACACTGCATACACACATGAAAACTCAATGAAACATGGGTGATATTGACACCCGGCACCCCTGGAACGCCCTCGGCGAAGCGCAGCTGCTGGAACAACATACCCCGAGGCCTGAAAACCGCGAGGAACCGACGAGAACGACCGAAACTCTCGAATCTCGAAACTTCGTCCCCCCCACGTCTGGCCGCCCGCCGTCGTCGTCGTTGCCGTCGTGGTCGTCGTCGGCGGCGGCGTCGTCGTCGCTCGTCGTCGTCGGGCGCCGTCGACGGGGATGGCCACGTCCTCGATTTCCGCGCGCGCGGGCCCCGCGGTCAGCCCCAGCAGCGCGGCGCCCGCGGCGGCGCTGGCGAGGAGACGGGCGAAGCTGGCGAGCGTGGCGTGCTCCTCGAGAACGATGACGAGGACGAGGACGAGGACGAGGACGACGAGGACGACGAGGACGACGACGACGACGTTGTCGACGACGACGACGACGACGACGACGACGACGACGAGGAGGATGACGGCGGCAGCGGCGGCGGGGAGGACGACGACGGTGAGGAGAAGGCATGGGGCTAGCAGGCGCACGGCCAGCACGTGTCCCCCCTCCCCGCTTCGGCCGTTGGCGAGACCTGGGACGCAGAAAGACACACTAATACTGATTATGTGCTGATGTTGGAAGCGCACGTCCGGCACGAACATATAAGTATACGTGGGTGGTGCCTAGGACTATGTTCAGTGGGGCCTGGCCAAATGATGCGTACCAGGGGACGCCCCCCTGCCCCATTCCACTGTTCGGAACAGCCACCACCCGAAGAAGCACCAGCTACGGCAGACCTGATTTGGGGGGCCTCGGGGCCCCGGCTCCCCTTAATTACCTGGGGGCTCGCCCCCGCCACGATGAAGGCCCTGGGCCCTCCAGAGAGGAGGGCAGGCGGAACGTTAGGGGGGACCAGCATGGGGGGAAACTTCGGGCGTGAGTCGGCGACACATCGCCGATAGCGGTAGTGAATCCGCACGCTCCTGGGAGGGGTGGGCAATCGTGCCCCTTCTCTGGGATGAATGGGCGATTGGGGTTCGATGCGTGTCCCCCTGAGCCTATCCCCGCCCTGACGCTGCCCCTCGAGCAGGGGAGGGGATCGAGGATCGAAGGAGCCCGAGGATCGATCGAGGCTGCGCTCAGGAGCCCGGCGGAGGCCCTGGGAGGCCGCAGAGGGATAAGCCTCCGGGGGCCTCTCCTGCAGACCTCCAGAGCACCGGGAGAGGCCCCCTGGAGAGACCCCTGGAGGGCGGGGGGTGACACCGGGAGGCCCCGGAGGGGCGGACGGGCGCGTGCCTCACGTCCTCGAGACGTCTCCAGGAGGGGGGGGGCCATGGGGGGGGGGGGGGGCCCTGCGGAGGGTGGCCGACGCAGCGCCCCCGGGGGGGTGCGGGCGGACGCACTGGCCGGACGACGCCTGCGTGCGCGCCGGCGCCTCCACGGGCGGAGTCTGCCCCTCCGCTCGCCCCGACCCCGCGGCTGCCCTGCTCTTCTGCTTCCCGCCCCTTGCTGGGCTCGCTCCGCTGCCCCGAGCCCTGGAGATGCTCGACGGGCCCCTGGCGCTCCCGTGGGCAGAGCAGAGTGGGCGCCGGGGCGGGGTCCTCCGAGGACGGAGAGCGCTCGCTTCTGCACTACTCCTCGAGCCAGGCCGATCTGCGAGGGCCCCGGGGCTCGGAGCGGTGCGAGGAGGCCCGCTGCGAGGAGTCCCAACGCCGGGATCTCGGGGCGGGGGGGGGGGCAGGAGGGGTGGATCGCGGCAGTGTGCTGCGTCCGCCGCCGCGTTCCCGCGTCGTCGCCCCGCGAGAGGGCGGCCGCCGAGAGAGGGGCCGCCGAGGGCCGCCGAGAGGCCGGCGAGGGCCGCCGCCCAGGGCCGCCGCCGAGGGCCGCCGCGGCGGCCGAGGGCCGCCCGAGTGCTCCTGCCCCGTGGCGGCGCCAGGGAGCTCCACCGCCGCGGGCGCCGCGGCGGCGGCCGCGCCGCGGGCGTTGCTGGCCGCTGGGCCGACGAAGCCCAGCCGCAGGCCTCCCGTTACCGTCTGAACGGAGCTCCCTCCTCCCTCCTCCTCCTCCTCCTCCTCCTCCTCCTCCCCTCCTCCTCCTCCTCCTCCTCCTCCTCCTCTCCTCCTCCACGTCCCTCTGTGATGTATCGCTCATATGTGATTTGCTCTGCAATGCTGTGATATGGAACGCTGGGCTACGCAGTGCCATTCCATGCAATGGCATGCCATGCGATGCTATGTTATGCACCGTTGTGCGATCACATGCCTTGCGCTGCAATGCGAAATGCTCGATTACGAAATGATATGCCATGCTATGCACCGCATTCCCTTTGGGGATCGTTGCCATCTTCGACGTCCGACTGTGCGAATAGAGAGGGCCTCTACGCAATGGTGGGGCATGGAAGGGAGGGGTAGAACGTCAGATATGACGCGTGTGCGCCTATAACTTGTCGATATTCCCCTCACCCTAGTCCTCGTCATCTACCTCCCTCCCTTTGCCCTCCTTGCCCCTATCCACCCCCTCCCCCATGGGCGGTCTGGGCGTCACGTTGCACCTTCGGAGGACAAGAAGGTGTGGGCACAGGAGGGCCAAGAAAGCATCGAGAGAAGACGGACAAAAAGGCATAAGGATGAGAAAGCCAGCAGGCCGGAAGCCGTTACGGTTCTTCTTGCGCGGACGTCCTCAATGGGGACGGGATCCAGCGCCGTAACGCGGAAACAACGGTTACCCTACCCAAACTCTGCGATATCCGTTTTGCTACGCCGCGGCAGCTTCTCGCATTGGCGCAATCAGCGACCAGGGAGGAAGGAAGAGGAATCAAGTATTTAGGGGAGATGAAAACAGTATGACAACATGTGTGTCTCATGTGCGCTGGCATGAGCTTGCAGTGTACACTTGTCTAACTCGCGCCGGCGACCTTCTGACTCCCATTGCACGGCTATCCGCGTCCAGTCTATGTCGAGCGAAGAATGTGTTTCGAATCCAGATCCGCCGACAGTCGACACGTGTGAGACGCTGTCGTCGTCTTCGTCGTCGCCGCCAGTCCCAAGGTAATCTAGAAACGAGCAGAGACAAGAAACGTCGTCTCCCCTTTTCCCCTCCCTGACGGAGTGGGGAACATGGGGGGAGCACGGAGGGAAATACGACCGACACCAACCACTTCGGACCGCTCGCGAAAAAAATCGGACCGAGCACAACCACTGGAAGCGGACTGATTGCAACGTGTGGGATTCCTGATGTAGTCATACCACGGCGAACGCCGTATTATAACCAGGGAAGCGCATTCGGTTTCCCAGCGCTTGGAGGACTCCTGAAGGACTCTTGAGAATTCCTGCAGGCGTCCTGCGGATCCTGGAGGTTTCTCGACTATTCGTGAAGGGTTCCTGAGGAGTCCTGGAAAATTCCTCGGGATTATGGAAAGATTCTCGGGGATTCCGACCGGTTTCTTGAGGATTCTTGGAGGATGCCTGAACTTCCTGAAGATTCACGAAGAGCTGTTTGAAGATTCCGGAAAGCTTGAGAATTCCTCCAATGTGGATTCTTAAGGTTTCTGAAGGATTGTCCTGGATTCCCCTGCATGTAGGATTCTTGGGCATACCTGGAGGATTATTGAGGTTTTCTACCAAGGTTTCTGCCGGATTCTCAAGGATTCCTGAAGAATTCTCCACAATTCCGGAAGATTCCTTCCGGATTTCTGAAGATTCTTAAAGAAATCCCGAAGGATTCCTGAAGGATTTCCGTCTGATTTGGGAAGGATTCCCGCCGGATTCACGAGGGATTCCTGAGGGACTCGGGCGGGATTCCTGAAGGGCTCTTGCGAAGTCCCAAGGGACCATGGAGGGGCTCCTGAGGGGCCCCTGCGGACCCCGGATGATTGCAAAAGGATTCACCCGGAACTCTTGCGGATCCCTGAAGATTCCCGAAGGATTCTTCCGGATTCTTCACGGATTCTTGACACATCCTGAAGGATTCTTGCAGATTCCTACAGGATTTCTGAAGTGTCCTGGAGGATACTTACGGATTGTTGTAGATTCCTAAAGGATTACTGAAGATCCCTGAGGGATTCCTAACGGATTTTGAAGGATGCCGAAAGGGGGGGGCAAGGGCCAGGAGAAGGATTAACAGTGCGTCTCTTCAGAAACGGACTCGGGCGGCCAACAAATGGGCCAAGGGCGCGCCCTCGCCTGGCGCCGTCGCCCAAGAAGAGCTTTGCCCTGGGACGACGGACGACTCCAAGGAGACGCTGCGGACCCTGCGCGACAACGCCCTGCAGGGAGGGCCCGCGCCGACTGCCGAGCCGCCCCTGGCCACGGAGGCGGGCGGCGCCCGCCGGCACGCGCTGCGCCCCCGGGCGACGCCCGGGCCGCCGCCCGCGAGGCGGGCACCGCCCGGGGCGCGTCGCGGCTCCCGCGGCGGGCGCTGCAGCGGGCCGTCCCTGCGCAGCGGCGACGCGGGCCCCCGAGCCGACCGGCCGCAGAGCGGAAGACGCGCGCGCGAGTCAGCTGGTGGCGCGCAGCCCATCCTGACCGCCGCCCCGAGATCGCAGAGGAAACCCATCCTGGCGAGCAATCGGCGCGCGGCCGAGGGCGCCGCAGAAGCGGCGGGCGAGCTCGAAGCAGCTGAGAGGCGGCGCCGCGGCAACCCGCTGGATGGGGCCCTGGGCCCCGACGCGCAGGAGGCGCTGAGCCTCTCGCACGCGGCCCCCTCAGGGCGACAGCGGCGACGGAAGCGCCCGCCCGCCCGACAGCTCCCCGCGCCCGCGCGACAGCGAAGCCCCGCGCCTCCGCAGTCGACCGCGCCGCCAGAATCGGCGGCGGTCGAGGGCCCGAGCCGCCGCGCGCCGAGGGCGCTCCTAGATCGGGCCCTCTCAGGGGGGCGCCCCATCCACGACGCGCGGGGGCCAGCGGCCCCCCCCGAAGGAGCTCCACCGGCCGGCAAAGCAGCCCTTTCACAAAGGGCTAGCTCGCCTGTCGCCGCGGCGGCGGCGAGGCGCCCCAGCGCCGCGCAGCCGGCCCCGAAGAAGAACCTGGCCAGCGCATTTCAGCGGCACCACCTCGCCTCGGAGGCCGCCCTGGAGTTTGGCGCCACCACCCCGAGGGGGCCGGCGGGCGTCGGCGGGCGCGCGGCCCGCGCCCGCGCGGCGCTCGCGTTCTGAGGCACGCGGCGCCCGCTCGGGCCGCCAAGGCCGAGCACCGGCGACGACGCCCACCGTGGTCCGAGCAGAACGACGTCGTCAACTATACGCCTCAAAATGGCTCATGGACGACGGCGTGGCCCGCGGGCCCTCAGCGGGGATCCGACCCTGGCTGTCGGGCGCCGAGCTCGACGCGGCCACGCGGCGCCGCTAGGGCGAAGACGCAGCGAAAGAGGATGGGCTCCCCGAGGAGGGCGAATTCGCCCCATCATTACAACGAGTCTGGGGACTGCACATGGACTCCTGCGCGAAGACCACCCGGCTCCAAGAGCCGAAATGTGAAGGAACGCAATCTCCTCGCGACGCGCGCCCAATTCTGGAGCGCCGCCCAACCGGCCATCCGGCCCGGGAGACGGGGGGCCCTAGACCCAACCTCGCGAGAGCCCCGAAGGTGGCGCTGGCCTGGCAGGAGCGGGGGGCAACTCTGGAGCTGCCCAAGCCCCGGAGGTCCGGAGCATGACGTTCCGCGCGCGATTCAGCCGAGCCCTCAGACCGCGGAAATGATCGCCCTTCCTGCCGTGGCCTGCAAGGCGAGGCGGGCTGTGGGAGACGCACCCATGTCCTCCATCGGAGCTGTGAACGGGGGCCGGGCCGGGGGTCAACCTGCCGGCGTCAAGCCTATCTACCTCGCCGCCAGTTCGGCGCCCTTGTTGGCCCAGATGGACGACGCCGTCGCGCGCCCACAGTCCGAGGACGGGTGGGTCATCGCGGTGGTCGAGCCGACGGCGCCGGTCGCGTTGGCAACCGCCTGGGGCAGCCAGTGGGCGACGGAACCCGCGCCCCACGCGGCCGACAACTCCAACGTGAAGGTCCGGCAAACGAAGCAGCTGCAGCACTTGCGTTGCGCTGACGACTGTCCGACCCTATCGATTACCAAATTGTTGAAGTTTCTTCTGGTAATTCTAGGGTCGCCGTGGAATTGCCAAAGAAAAGAAATGCGGTTTGAAATAACACTACATGCAACATTACTACCTATACGACCACCCTTCGGGTGATAAGGAGGTTCGGGGGGGGAGGAACCAACGTCTCACTCGATCGGTCTCACTATCGATCTCACGATCTCACTATCGGTCTCGCTCGATCGATCTCACTCGATCGATCTCACCATCGATCTCACTCGATTTATTTCATTCGATCGATCTCACAATCGATCTGACTATCGATCTGACAATCGATCTCACTATCGATCTCACGATCGATCTCACAATCGATCTCACATTCGGTCTCACTATCGATCTCATTATCGATATCACCATCGATCTCACAATCAACATCATCATCAACATCATCGTCATCAACGTCATCAACGTCATCATCATCATCATCATCATCATCATCATCATCATCATCATCATCATCATCATCATCATCATCATCATCATCATCATCATCATCGGGACACCATCATCATCATCATCACCTCATCATCATGATCATCAACATCAACATCACCACCACCACCATCATCATCATCATCGTCATCATCATCATCATCGCCATCATCATCACCGGGACACCATCATCGTCACCATCGTCATCATCAACATCATCATCATCGGGACACCATCATAGTCATCATCGGAACACCATCATCATCATCATCATCATCATCATCATCATCATCATCATCATCATCATCATCATCATCTCATCATCATCATCATCATGAACAACATCATCAACATCATCAGCATCGCGACACCATCATCATCAGCATCATCATCATCAACATCATCATCGGGACACCATTATCATCATCAACATCAGCATCCTCAGCATCATCGGGCCACCATCATCAAAATCATCATCATCACCTCATCATCATCCTC